ACCAACCGTCGGCACCAGGGGTGGATTTCGCAAAATGAGTGTGGGGTGGGGTGGGGCTGAACGGTGTACGGTGAGCCAACATACACACAAAAACGCCAAGTTATGGGTTTCTCTCCGAATTTGGCCCACTTTTCTTAAAGTCAGGGAAGGGGGACAAGACATCAGACCGGATTCAAGGAATGGCGGCTCTCGAAGGGCCGCAATTCTATGTTCTCACCGAAATGAAGCGTCGCAAGGGCGCCCGCGTGGCCTAATGGATAAGGCGTCGGTCTCCTAAACCGAAGATTGTGGGTTCGAGTCCCACCGTGGGTAGCGGTCGGTTTTAGCCGACAGGCATCACAACCACCAACACATCGATTGCTTGCTGTGAACCGTGTTCGTACTGTTGTGGTATAACAATTCTCGGGTTGTGTGGGTGGCGTTCGCGTTGAGTTCCTTGGGTAATGGGTGGAATACATCAATGGGTTTTCGTATTTGTCTGTCGTATCAGCGTCGGCCGTTTCGGTCAGTTCACTCTTTACCTGTCGTCAGACGTTATGAAGTCATGAGAAAGGCTGGTGGTGTTTGGCTTTCAGCACTCGTCACAAACCATATTTGGTCCTTAGAAGTGCTTGGATTCGAACCAGGTCTTCTTATTGCGAATCCGATGCCATACCAACTGAGGTATCTAAGGAGGACTAATGAAAACTGTAATATTGAACGACCAAATCAATAAAAAAGTTACATCCCTGGTCGGTACGGCATTCGGTCCGCCAAGTCTTCTTTTCTGTAGGAATGAGGTCAGTTATGAACTCAATTTTGCTGCATTCTCTCAGTAATTTTGTGCGGATTGGCACGGTTTGTTGTGGCCAACTCTTAAAAGAAGCCTCTGTGCTGTTTGTTCCCTAACAAACTGTATTCATGTGCCTCTCATGCATCTTTCCGTTTTTGTTGCTACGTCCGTGGGATGCAAGGATTGACCAAATGCTGCAAGTTTATTGCCGATGATTGTGTGTGAGGTGAGGGGAGCGCAGCTCCCTATAATTTTTAATTGCCAACATTTAGTCAACCAGATGGCGAACGGTATCCGACTTTTCTTGTGATGAATTGAATTGGTTGGTGCGAGGCTTCCTTGCAAAGGATACAATGTGTTCGAGTTAGTGCCGTTTTGCAATGAACGTGATTTGTTGGTGCGGGGACTCCTTGCGTTTAATGCAATGGGTTGGTGCGAAGCCCCCAGCATTGCATGTAATTGGTCGGCGCAAAGCCTCCTTGTAATGGATGCAATGGGTTGGTGTCAGGCCCCCTTGCGATGGATGTAATTGGTTGGTACGAGTCCTCCTTCCGATGGATGTAATTGATTGGTGAGAGGCCTCCTAGGGAAGAGTGTAATTGATGCTGTCGTGGTGCACTGACGTCAGGTCAGAGCCGTGCTGACGTCAGACCAGAGCCGCGCTGACGTCAGGCCTGAACAGCCAATGCCCGAGGACACTGTTTGCCGCTGAGTGATGGACGATAACTAGCATGCGCCATCCATGGCCAAGCTCGCTGCTCGTCGTGAGCTGATGAAACGACCTTATGCGCACATGTTGATTATTGCACGGAATGAGTGAGGCGAGGTATTGCCATCGCTAATATAATGCTTTATCAGGCTATCGGCCTCATTGGTTTATTAGTTCTGACTATATTTAGTATATCGACAGAATAGCATCATTCCCTCCACGGGCCGTGGGTGTCGTTTTTTTATCCACCAGTATTAGTACTCGCGAAATGCGCTTTATCTCGGACATTTGCTTGGGGTGTTCAGATTTGCGTCAGGCGCAGGTGCCTGGGACTTCAACCGCCGAGAGTTACATGAAGTGCACGTCTCGCGCTACGGCTTTTTTGCGTCATCTACATTATAGCATGCATAGCATAGAATCCTGTGCGTAACGGATAGAATGAATTATTTGATTATTACATTCGTCTGTTGTGTTAGCGTCGGCCGTTTCGGTCAGTTCACTCTACATCTGTCGTCAGGCGTTATGAAGTCATGAGAAAGACTGGTGGTGTTGGGCTTTCAGCCATGCATTCGTCACGGACCACATTTGGTCCTTGTAATTACTGATATTCGAACCAGGTCTTCTGATTACGAATCCAATGCGATGTCAACTGAGGTAACCGGAAGGGTTACATCAGTTTACAACGTAGGTAACTAGGAAGGACATACCAGGTTAGGTCAGTTAGCCATTGTCCTTCTCGGTTTGCCCAGTTGGTAGCACTACACTAGCACTAGCACTGGAAATCGTAAGACCCTGGTTCGGACTTCAGTGATTCCAAGGAAAAGATTCAGGCTTCGATGAGTGCATAGCTGAAAGCCAAGCACCACCCAGTCTTTCTCAGCCCTTCACGTAATACCTGACGACGGCATGACATCTCAATGGCCCAGACGTTTTGGACATCGCTACACATTCGACGAAGATAATAGTCATACCACTTATTCCGCTACATACGGAATCCAGTGTAAATGCCGCTCAGACTCGCTGACGGGTGACGCAGTCCTGTCGCACGCAGCGGGAATCAGTGCATATGGGTTCCGCTATGTTCGAATTCAGCGTTGGTAGGCAGTGGATCAGCTCAGCCAAAATCCGCGGCTACCCACGGTGGGACTCGAACCCACAATCTTCGGTTTAGGAGACCGACGCCTTATCCATTAGGCCACGCGGGCGGGGCCATCGGGGTCGATGACAACGATGGCTTTCTTGAAGCCGTCAGTCAGCTGACACCGGTCTGGGGACGTCAGGTGGGCCCGAGTGTTGATACTGTCCAGGGTCCGCCGTTGACTTGTTACCTGTTAGTGTTAACTCGATGTTGACTAGGCTCTGACATGTTTTTGACGTTTGTTTTTGTGTGTGATTTAACTATCAACGTTAGTCATGTACTTTTTATGCATGCCATAAATTCGATCAGGGGGAGGGGCACATGGTCCAGGTCTTTCAGGTGTTAACGCCCCTGCAACGCCCCCAAGATGGCGAGCGTTACCCCGTTTTCCTTGCAATGGATGCAGCTGATTCGTGCTGAACCTCCTTCGTGTAATGTGATGACTTGGTTGTGGGTCCGGCTGCTGATGTGGTGCCCTGATGTCAGATTCTGAACAGCCAATGTTCGAGCACGCTGTTTGCCGCGTAATGGCCTAGAACGTGTTCCATTTGTGCGATGGTTCCGTGACAATGTCAGTGGTGATAGGTGATGATGTCAGGTAGGCTTTAGCAGGGTGAGTTAGGCTACACGGGCACGTTAAAGCACGTTGATCGTGCTGGCTGGCTGCAAGCCGGTAGTTAGGCTACACGGGCACGTTAAAGCACGTTGATCGTGCTGGCTGGCTGCAAGCCGGTAGCGTGCGCTGCTCGTCGCGGGGGCTTAAAAACCGCAGGTGTACCCACGGTGGGACTCGAACCCACAATCTTCGGTTTAGGAGACCGACGCCGTATCCATTAGGCCACGCGGGCTGACAGCCGGTCGGGTTGCGGCGAACGGCTCTCTGGCGCCCGCCCGCAGTTTGACAGCCCGGCCGTGCCAAACTGGAGCTTGGCGCCCGTCTTGCCGCCAAGACGTGGCACGGTGCTCGTGTATCAGAGCATTTGACCTGACGCCTGCGGGTGACCCGACGCCTCACTGATGGGGAGGGGAGGGAGAGACACCGTGATTCTATCTTGGAGCGGACATGGGCGCCCGTTAGCAGTAGAGCAGACATGTAGGCCGCTGATAGCGTGCGCACGTGTTGATGAGGCCAGGGCAAAACGGAACCATGCCTGTGCGCCTTTCGCTGCGTCTGGTCTCCCCCCGGACTCGTGTCGCTGCGCCACTCGCTGCGTCTGGTCTCCCCTTGGACTCGTGTCGTTGCGCCACTCGCTGCGTCTGGTCTCCCCTTGGACTCGTGTCGTTGCGCCACTCGCTGCGTCTGGTCTCCCCTTGGACTCGTGTCGTTGCGTGTAGGAGGTGTCATGCATACAATACGAGGTTTCCTCATCCCGTCGAAAGTCGTTTTGAATCTATTGCTGCGTATTAATGCCAAAGGTAGCGCTTTCCATAATGGCATGTGGGCAGTTGTCTGACTTTTTGCTTTTGGTGTTATGATACCAAACTTTTTACCATGGACGTCCCAGGCTAAACAGCTGGTGCGGCCCATAGGACGTCTGTTTACCGTAATATGCGACTCAATTACGTTAAACGTGATGGTTTCAGCGGCGTCGCGTCATTGGTATTGGTACGCGAGGCATTCTTGAGCCTAGCGTGGCAGCGCTCCTCTCAAGATCAGACCCCCTGTCGCGATCAAAGTGACCTGGTGATGATGCAAAGCCCCCTTCCAGACAGCTGCGGCGGCACCCTCAAAGGTGAAAGGAAATATTTTATCCGTGGAACAGTGGTAAAGTTAATAAATAATGTTTTTAAGCTTTAACGGGCAAAAACCGGCTGGCAGTAGCTGTTTTAGCCGACTGCTGACAACACAGCTGCGCGCGATTTTAGATGCACCCAATGTGTATCGTCAGTGTACGCCACTCTGTCACCCGCCTCCCTTGACCTTGGCCTCAGTCGACCTCACGCCCATCGTCAGCCATGGTCGCGGTCCGCCACGTGACCGCCGATAACGGGATCGCCGCAGTCTTGACCTTCTGCTGTTTGGTCGTGGGGTCATTGAGGCCCACCACACGCTACAATTAAGCTGACCCACGCGTCAAAGTCGGCATACGCCTGACGGGTAGCCTTCCGACAGCTGAGCGTCCCAGCTTGACCCCCGATTGGCGCGTGCTGTCACTGCGCTGCCGGACGCATGTCGGCAGCCTGCCCGCACGTGCAGCCGGAGCGGGGCGACAGTGTGACGCCATGTCGCCGTGTGACGCCACGTGACCGTGTGGTACCATGTGACCGTATGATACCATGTGGCCGTATGACGCCATGTGACCGTATGACGCCATGTGGCCGTGCGACCTGCAACCGAGCCGGGGCGGCCGCGTGACGCGCAGTCGTGACTGTGTTGGCAGCAAGGTGCCAGCCTTCCTGAACGTGACGGACATCGCCGGCCTGGTGAAGGGCGCCAGTGAGGGACAGGGCCTCGGCAACGCGTTCCTCTCGCACATCAAGGCCTGCGACGCCCTCTTCCATCTATGTCGTGAGTGTGCCGTCCCGCTGCTCGCGTCCGCCCAAGCTCTGTTGCACGCGCGGTGGTAATGTTCTGAGAACCCCCCTCTACGTCCGATGGCGGTCTTCAGGAGTACTTCTCCTCTCCTGATTTATAACCGGTTGAAACACACGTTTTTCGATTAGGAGTGATGGAAGATGCTCGAATGTCACTGCCTTCTGCATAAGAACTGCACGGAAAGTTGTAGCGTTGCAAGAAAACAGTCTGGGGTTAAAGCGAGATTCGTTCAAGCTGCGCAAGTGAAAACGGCGAGTGCTGCGAGGCGTGAAAGAGCAGATGGTGCATTTTGGGCGCGAAATCCATTTAGGCATGGTCGGTGCCAGTATTGGCTTTTGATAGCATATGGTAAGAGACGATCAGCGGCGGTGAATAAGTCCTGCCTTCTGGCGCTGGCGGGCCACTGTGCGCTGAGCCCCGCTGTCGCCGTCGGGCCGCAGTCGCGGCCACAGAGGGCCGCCCGGCCCGACGGCGCCCGCTGCCGCCGTCGGGCCGCTGCCGGGCCGCAGCACGCGCCAGGCTCGGCTCCGCTGAGCTCGGGTGGCGTCCGCCCAACCCCGGGCCCTGTTATTAGGCGTCGTTGGCGCCGCTAATGTTTGGCTTTCATAACGCGCCGTTCCGCCGTGTCCGCCGCCGTGCCCCGTGTTCCACGGTGACAATGTGTGGTCTCCTAATGTTTAATGGACGAGGGCCTGCGAGGTGGTAATCCGATGGCCCCGTGGCAGGCGCGGCCTTTTGTCATTTTCCAGCCTGAGGCGTATTTGCCCATTTCGGCTGTATTTATCTAATCCTTGATTTCGTGCTTGGCCGCCCTGTTCAAGTCGCGTTCTGCCGTGTGTTCGTGGCAGTGTCCTGTTCGCCACTGGCAAGAGCGCGCCAACCACGCGCTTTCACCGCCTCATCGCGCCGCGGGACGGTTCCTTGGTGCCAGCTGTAGGGTATCACTGCCGCCACCACTAGAAACGAAATAATGCGCTTTGGGATCTTTGGCCAATTTGATGGCTCCTTGCGTGCGCTACGTTGCGCTACGTATGCCACCGGATTGGGGATCAATTGGTGGCCACATTTCAGTCACGCGTATACAGCGTTGCTTTCGTCTTACGCCAGCGTATGATGTTAATGTATTTCATATTGGAACCAGACTCTTTGGTACCTATGCCAATGAGCATTATGATTATTGTCAGTCTTTAATGGGCTAAGTATGCGAACTCCGTACTAGCATGGTTTGAAACGGGCTGGCTGGCTACTTGCTTTTTTCAACGCGCATATTTTTATGCCAACCAAATGTATAGTGTTGCATCAGCTTGCCTCTACTGAATGTGAATGAGCGTTGAGAAAGGAGAAAGGCAAACATGTATATTAGTCACCATTGGTTAGGCCACTAGCCTGTAGGTTTTCCACTGCCAATCCGTATATTATTAATCGGACACACACGAGCATGCATCATTTCATCCCTCCAGTCGTCAAATATGCGAATATGATCATCTCACGGTCTCCCTCCGGACTTACGCTTGAAGGGAGTATGCCACCGTTTTTGTACTTCTCACAGTTAAATAGAACGCGACTGATTTGGTCTGCAATGTCAGTTTTCTGGGAGTCCTTTGAGAGGCTTATAACTTTGCTTTCACGTAGCCGTTCCCATGGGAGAAATGCCGTTGGATCCGTGCTGACCACTGGGAGTCAAAGTTTTCTATTTGCTCTGTTTTTTTTCTGACATGTGTGTTATGGTACATTGGCAGTACGGCTATTTGACCAAAAGGTCGTGTGATAAATGGTATGAGAGCTTGAAACAACCCTCGAAGACAACCAACCCTCAACGAACAATCGAAGAGGTTAGAAGAGTTTTGCGAACAAATTGGGATGCATGCTGTATGGGAACACAGATGAGTTATAACAGGGTTGGCGGAGCGCGGTGTTCTTAGAGTTATGCTGGCTAAATCAAGCACACAACATTCGTAAATTATCAGTTGAGAAACCTTAGAGGCAAGCGATCCGTAAAGATGAAGGAGCGTGCGGAAATAGTACATTATGCGACCAATCAACTAAAAGTAAACGTGGTGTGGTCTGGACGGCTGAAAACGTAACGAATGAGCAACATGGGAAAATGGTATGTGAAGAGGAATGTTGGTAAAATTGCACGCATGTAGAATGCAGCATGAATGTTGCAGCTCCACTGTGCGTACGTGGATGACCACAAGGAAGAACATTGCTGTGGACTTGACATGAATATTTGTTTGCCTTTAGGGCACGAGGAGAACTTCGTTCACTCGGCTCAGCCGTTGAGCTCCTTCATTTCAGTCTCGGTTCAGTCGGCGTTTGAAGTGTTAATGCCTCCGCCGTCATGCCGGGTGCCCTGTGCACCCTTCCCCCCCCCCCCGCCCTGCCCCCCGCTGAAGCAGTCACGGTGACCTCTGGTCAGTAATTGGATGATGGCCTGTGACCCGGGGCTGGAGAACGAGTCAGCTGATATAACGCCATGCGCTAGTAGTGAATAGGGAGATAGACGGAAGTACGTCTGCATCCGGCTGTCCGCCTTATGACACGCGTAGCAGCTTACATTTGCTGGAGATGGGAATGACAACCAGTATTGACCCTGCCCATTCATGCAAAGTTAACCCCAAAATGACTAACAGAAAACAAGAATGTCACCTTTTTAGTCATACCTTTGCGCAGCCTTTTGAGCCTTTTCAACCTTTTTAGCTGGACTTTCGTGCGGCCACAGTGGAGTGGTGTTAACGAAGTCGGTGCCGTTCACGCAGCCGGTGCGTGGCCGGCTGGCGCCCTCGCTGTGCTCTACAGCTTGCTGTGCTCTACAGGCCGGCAGGCGCTCTCGCTGTGCTCTGCAGGCTGGCTGGCGCCCTCGCTGTGCTCTACAGCTCGCTGTGCTCTACAGGCCGGCTGGCGCCCTCGCTGTGCTCTACAGGCCGGCTGGCGCCCTCGCTGTGCTCTACAGGCCGGCTGGCGCCCTGGTGGTGCTCTACAGGCCGGCTGGCGCCCTCGCTGTGCTCTGCAGGCTGGCTGGCGCCCTCGCTGTGCTCTGCAGCTCGCTGTGCTCTACAGGCCGGCTGGCGCCCTCGCTGTGCTCTACAGGCCGGCTGGCGCCCTGGTGGTGCTCTACAGGCCGGCTGGCGCTCTCGCTGTGCTCTGCATGCCGGCTGGGGCCCTCGCGATGCACTGCTGGCCGGCTGGCGCCCTCGTGGTGCTCTACAGGCCGGCTGGCGCCCTCGCTGTGCCCTGCAGGCCGGTGTGCGGGCCTGCAGACCAGCACGCGGCCTCATGGCGTGACCCGTCTCGGCCGCCGCCGCCGTCGCGAGCTCGCCCGACTGCGGTCCCGTGCGCCGAGAGGCGGTGGCGGTATGTCGGCGGCCACAGGCGGGCACTTGCCACGACGGCCCGGTGACCGAACCACCCTCTGCCCCGCCCCAGCGCGCGGCGGCCGTCTCCGAGGCTGGCTGCGGAGGGCGTGACCGGGCCTGGCCGCCGCCGCCGCCGCCTGACCGCCGGCTGGCAGGTGGCGGCAGCTCGGCCTGACCGGGGTGCTCGCTCGACTCCGGAAGCGCCTCCGGCCGCTCTCCGCCGTAGTGGAGCGGCGCCGGACCGCTCTGCTCTGGCCGGCGGCGGTCCAGCGGCGCCTCTCCGGCGCCGCGCGCGCGCCAGTTGGCGCCAAATCGGCGTCTGGCGGCGCCGCGGCCCGCCGATCGTCGCCGTTCGTGTTTTCGGCGCGGCCGCTGGGTTTGAGTGACGGTTTGGGTGCGCGCGGCGCGGGCGGTCTGGGCCTGCTCTCCGGCGGGGCGGGTAATTTACTGTGTTGTGACGGCCGCCGCCTTAGCGCAGGCCGAGCGGCGGTGCGATCTGACGGCGGTCGGTCCAGCCGACTGGCGCCGGCCGCGCTCATCCGCTGCCGGCCCGGGCGCGCGCGTGCACTGTCGACACCCGCCGCAGGCGACCGCTGTCGTCATGCACTGCTGACACACCTCCGACACCCGCCGCAGGCGACCGCTGTCGTCATCCACTGCTGACACACCTCCGACACCCGCCACAGGCGACCGCTGTCGTCATCCACTGCTGACACACCTCCGACACCCGCCACAGGCGACCGCTGTCGTCATCCACTGCTGACACACCTCCGACACCCGCCGCAGGCGACCGCTGTCGTCATCCACTGCTGACACACCTCCGACACCCGCCGCAGGCGGCCGCTGTCGTCATCCACTGCTGACACATCTCCGACACCCGCCGCAGGCGGCCGCTGTCGTCATCCACTGCTGACACACCTCCGACACCCGCCGCAGGCGACTGCTGTCGTCAACGACTGCAAACACGCGCTTCCGACGACCGCTGCAGGCGATCTCTTCCGATAACCGCCGCAGGCAACCACTGCAGACAGCCGTCTCCGACTACCACTCAAGACAACTACTTACGATAATCACTGCAGGCAACCACTGCCCACTGTTGGAACTTCCCGCTCACACGCGCTACAACATCCACTGTCGGCGCTTGTCCGCACCGCCAACACCGACTGTCGACACAGACATCCCGTCCCTGGTCAAGCCTAGGGATTCATTGAATGCCACTTTGAGGGTGCAGCCTTCCATGCACTGAGCTTGTTGGGATTTCAGACAGATGTGCTTAATGTAACGTAACGTAAGACCACTAACGCACGTAACTGTAAGGCATGTAACGTCTGCGTAACCGTCATAAACACCACGATAAAGTAAGAATTAAATGACAAAATGGGGGGAACACTACAACCGAAACAACATACAGCATCGGGCTCGGGCTTCTTCTCAACTCCCGTCGAAATATTTCGAAAAAAGTTTCATGCATTGTAACAAGAGGCAGGACACAGGGACAGGGCATGCACCTGCTGCCGCCGCAGGCACGGCGCAGCCGCATATGGACTGCCCATCCTCAGCGAGGACGCTACTGCGACACCAGTGCGCAGGTCCACCGCCAGACGGTGGACAGTGGAC